TCTCAATAAAGCTGAAAATATGGCTTTCTCATATTTTTAATTTAAACAAAAGAATAGATATGCAGAAAGCATAAAGTCACATTACCACAGAATATATTTCTGATTTTAGGAAATCACAATAAAAGCAACTTTAGAGTCACAAAATTCTGGATTAGTCCAGTGTTAACTGGGTTCCTTCCTATCAAGTCCTCTTGGCCTCTGGGCATCTTCTTTTCTCCCTGGCATGAGGGGCTGACCCACCAGTCCATTTTCTTCTGACCAAAGAAATGTGACAGATCACCTGCTTTAGAAAATAAGTCCTTTCCTGAATTTCAGGTGAAACAGATACATATTATTCCCAAGTGACTTGCCAAGCAGTATCATTGATACCCTCCAAGCCACAATGAATGATTTTCGAGGCCTTGGTGATGAGCCCTTCCCAGCTCTGAAGTCTCTGATGATGATTCATTTAGAAACCCTCCCTGCCATTCACCCAGGGAATTGCAAAAGCCACACCCATTCCACTGTACAGCGCAGCTGTGAAGAGGAAATTCTTTCACCAGTACCTCAGCCTATCAGCAAGAGCAGAACCCAACTAGACTGAAGGTTCTCTCTGGTGGGGGTAGACTTCTTTTTTCTGATACTTGTCAGATTCTAGTAGCCAATTATAAAAAAGAAGGAAAATTTCTACATCATGAGCATGTTTCTTAACCTTAATATTTTTCCAATTCTTTTTTTCTCTAGAGGAATCCCCCTCTTCCCACCCCAAACACTGTAGTCCAGGGTACAATGTCAATTCTATTGCACATGTAATGACAGACATGTGGGGGTTCAACTTCTACAGTTAAGAAATAATGTAAATGGCTTGACACACTCTTCCCAGAGGTTCCCTATTATAATTCCCCTTTGATTCTTCAGACCCTTCGATCGAGTTCTGATTACTTCATCATGTGTTAACCTCCAATCTAAGGTCAGTTGTGGAATTTAGCCCTTTTGGTCTATGGGAGATCAAAGTCCGTTTTTTGTTTTTTTTTTTATGGGGTCTAAATACACCCCTTTTGGCTTCTGGCAAAAACAAAAAACAAAAAAAACTGTTCTCCTGAAAGCTATGCGTCACATTAAACAGACCAGAGTCCTCCAAAATTCTTACTCTTAGTCTACAGCTTTCATAAGACACCCTGTTAGAGCAACTGCCACCTAAGATAGCTCTCCTAGCCTCTGTTTAAAAAATACTAGTCTCTATTGTGTGGTTATTTTTCATCAGTAATCATTTAGGGGGCAGGAGGAGTTTTATGGGATTTTTTTTTCCATTCCTTTGGAAAAGGAATAGAAGAGAGAGTCTTTTTTTTTTTAATATATTTTATTGATTTTTTACAGAGAGGAAGGGAGAGAGATAGAGAGTTAGAAACATCGATGAGAGAGAAACATCGATCAGCTGCCTCCTGCACATCTCCCACTGGGGATGTGCCCGCAACCCAGGTACATGCCCTTGACCGGAATCGAACCTGGGACCTTTCAGTCCGCAGGCCGACGCTCTATCCACTGAGCCAAACCGGTTTCGGCAGAAGAGAGAGTCTTTTAGGGTTATTCTCATGGGGGCTTTGCTATAACTTCTTGGTACAGAGTTCCATCCAGTGATGACCATTGTTTGCTTGGCCTGACCATTGGACCAAAACCACCAGGAAAGCAAAATAAGAGCATGTTTGAATTTTTTTTCTTTTTTATTCCAGTCAATAATATTGTATTATACAAATGAGTACTAAAGGAAAAATTAATCCGGAGACATATTGAAAACAGTTTATCCCTCAATTTTTATACTTAAACAGCCCAATTCCTAACTGTTGCTATGTGGACTTCTCAATGAGGTTCAAGTATGCTTAATGAGTTCAAATATGATATCGAGTGTTGACGATGTTCATGCTAATCCATAATATTCAGTATATTTTAATTAAATGAGAGGAGAAAAACTGAATTCCCCATTTTCATGGCAATTCAATATTAGCTGCTAGAAATATATATAGATATGTATATTTATATATATGAACAGCCAGCGACCGGAATACCATAAAGACCAGAACGACCAGTTGCTATGATGCCCACTGTGGCCAGCAAACCGTCAGATCAGGGGGTGGGGCCGGCCAGCCAACCTCCCA